ACGGGGTGGTTGTGCAGGCCTTCGCAGTAGTCCCTTGTCGTTGATCCTCCTCCTCCTCCTTCTCCTCTTCTTCCTCCTTCTCCTTCCCTCCCTCCCTCCCTTCCTCCCTCCCTCTCTCCCCCCTGCCCCTCCAGGAGGGACAGCAAGGAGGGGGGAGAAAGGGGCGATGGCGTGGACGAGGGGTGTGCACGCAGCACGGGGAACGTGCCGAGGCCGCGCGCGCTGGTTCACACCCGCGGAGGGCCAACGCGCCTGGCCGCACGATGGGGCCGACGCGCTGCAAGCACGTCTGACAACGTGCGCATCTAGCCCTCGCCCAAGCCCACCACGCCGTGTGCACGCATGTTCATGCGTCGGCCCCGTGACACGCGTTATGCCCTGCAAGCTGATAGCACGTCGCACCTTTCCGCGGGGCGAGACATCGGAACGGCTCGGGTAGTTGGCGTTCGGGGGCCGGGACGTGGCCAACCTGTCGCACCGAAACGCGGTAAGCCAGAATCGGTTGCGCGACACGCTAAGCGCAAATTGCTGACCGCACACGGCTTCGCAACGTGCCCCCCCCTGGACCTCTCGACTTGGGGAGCAAATGGTGGCATGAACATGAATTTTCGGAGGTCCGCGCTGATTTCTTGGATCGGCGCTGGACCCCCCCTGGCGGCGCCAGGGGGGGAGGAGGGGGAGGAGGAGGAGGAGGAGGAGGAGGGAGGAGGAGGGGAGAGGAGGAGGAGGGGGGAGGAGAGGAAGGAGGAGGAGGAGGAGGAGGAGGAGGAGGAAGAGGAGGAAGAGGAGGGGGAGGAGGAGGAGGAGAGAGAGAAGGAGAGAGGAGAAGCGAGGCGGGAGGAGAAGGAGAAGAGAAAGGAAGAGGCGGAGAGACGAGGCGGCGGAGGGCGGAGGAGCACGAGGACAGAGGAAGAAGAGATGGAGGATAATGAGGAACTGGGGAGTTAGCCCAAGACACATCGACGACGCTGCTACACATCCGTCCCAAGCCCTCGTCCCCAGAAGTACCCACACCATCGCATTTCAACTACAAGGGGAACGCGCCTCCTAGAAGGACGAGCGTCCAATGGGCGTGCCACTCCAGCGGGCGCACCGTCTTTAAAAGGAATGGCCAAGAATCATCCCTGAAACTTTTAAAGCTACCACTGCGTAGAAACATAACATGAGAGGGACTGTCTCGCGGCATTCCCGTGATGTACAACATAACATCCCGCCTTCTGCGTAGCACAAACTCTCGAATGTTTGACATGCAAATGGCTCAAACAAGAACCCGCTTTTGAGCACGAGACCCCCTCTACAACTGAGGCCTTGCTGTTGTATGTTTAGGTGTCGGCCTGACTCAAGCGGGTGCCCCATCATGCAAGCCTCCACCCGTGTCACTGTTGGACACATTCGCGCCAAGCTGAGGCGAGAACCACATTTAGAAGACCCTTCCCCTCCAATCCGTATGACGGCTGGCAACTCTCAAAGGGGGATGCCCGCGGCGCTGAAGCGGGAACCGTATATTATAATCCTCCCGCCATCCATCCGTGTAACGGTTGGAAGCTTTTAAGGCGAAGGAGCGTGCAGCAAAGGCGAGAGCCAATGTTGTTGAAAACCATGCGACCTATCTCTGTGCAGGTTTTGACAAACAAATGTTCGCCAACGCGAACCCGGAACAATGACTTACTGCCCTGTGGATGTGACAGCTGTGCGGAGTAAACCGTGTGGTGTGAGCGAAATTGTGTAAGCTATGTGGTGCGGACTATGTGATGCCTATGTGTTTTGTGGGCGACGTCATGTAAGCCATGCTGGGCGGTCAGTTCGATGAGACTTGGGTTGCGCGGCTATGTTGTGCAACCCATGGGGTGAAAGCTATACGATGTGAGCTACATTGTATAAGCTACGTTACCCACCCAGGGACAACGATAACAACGATAACAACGATAACAACGATACCAACGATAACAATGACAACGATATCAACGATATCAACTAGATCAACGATAACAACGATAACGATAACAACGATAACAACGATAACAACGATAACAACGATAACAACGATAACGATATCCACGATATCAACGATATCAACGATAACGATAACAACGATAACAACGATAACAACGATAACAACGATAACAACGATAACAACGCTGGGCGCTCACGAGGTGCCCACGGGCGGACACCAGGCGAGACCTAGGCATACCCCCCCCAGGCGCGTGGCGCCCACGGGGCGCCCAGTGGCGGGCACCGGGCGGAATCTCGGCATGCTCCCCAGCGCGGGTCTCCCACGAGGCGCCCAGGGGCGGCATGCGCGTTCAGCGCTGGACACCCACGAGGCGCCCACGGGCAGGAACCGTTCTCTTCTTCCAAATTTTACAAAAATATTCGAATATTCTACAGCTGCTACTACGACCCACGACGAATACTACTACTACGACGACGACAGCGACGACGACAACGACGACGACGACGACTACGCCTACTACTAACACTAGTACTACTACTACTACTA